ATATATATATATATATATATATATATATATATATATATATATATATATATATATATATATATATATTAGGTACGACATTGAAGGTATGTTTAGTCAAGTAACTTAAGTGCATAGGAAGTTCACGCATAGCCACCGCCATTGGTTGGTGGGTTATTTTGTACATGTAAGATTAAAAATAAAAGATGTGTGGTAGCATCACATCAGAGTGTCGCAAACTGTCACACTATCTACCACTCCCTCAGGAGGTTGACGTACTTTATGGACGTTCCATTTATCTTTTATGTTTAAGTTTATTCATCGCTTGAATCAGATATTATATGAGCTATTAAATATTAACTCCGTGATTAAATAAAAATAAATGTCAAGTTTTTTTAATTTTGATTTTAAAAACATAAATAATGTGATTTTAAAAAATAGTTTACATTTTCTCCAATAGCAAACCCTGCTAAGTCGATTTTTTTGAAAAAAAAAATGAGTTAGTCCCATTGCCTCATCTATGAAGTGCTATTTCACAATATTTTACTAGTTTTTTAAAATCAAAACCCGCTAAGTTCGCTTATTTCGCTATTTAAAAACTAAGTGGCTATAGGTACCCGGGTACTACCTATAGCGGCAATTGGCTATTCGGATCCGGCTGGTCAAGTGAGGGCTTTAGATATTCGGTTGGTCACGTGATAGTTATGATGGATACTTCCTGTTGGGTTGCCATCTTAGACCCATCATTATCAATCGAGAAATGAAATGTGCCATATTTAGCGTTCAAGAAACACGAAGAACAATGTGCGTACATCTAAAAGCAAGTAAGAATACGTTTATAATTTTATTGTATTTTTAAATTATATTTTAAATATAGTTCTATAATCATTAACATGACATCAATCAAGATCAAAGTTGCTTTTTTTTTTTTTTTTTTGGCGGCAAATCGGCTACTGTCTTATCTGAAAAGTTTGGCTACGGCTATTCGGACCCGGTATCAGAAGTGCGTACTTCAATTTTAATTCATCCCAAAAATTATTATTCACTTTTCCCATACAACAAATGTTCTTTTGAATAAAAAAAAGGCCAAAAACAATTCGGAGAGATCAACCCGCGGCCGCCATCTTGGTTATCGTGACCCACGAACTTATGTTAGGCACTCCAAGCCAACTCAAATTTTCAAATACACCTGACATACACTAACAAAGAGTATATCATTGGAAAGAGCTGGCTCTAAACTTTCCAATGACACCAAGATAATCTTTCTATCACTTATAGGAGAAAAGTTATGAATTTTTTAGTGATTTATTTTTCCCCACTATTCCGCTTTGTATTTATTTAATTTTTAAGACTGATCGCATTATTACTTTTAGTACTATTTTGCATGTATCTTTTTGGCTATTAAAGTTAGCGCTCTCAAATTTGGAGGAAACATTTACAGTACAATGTTTAACAAAACAAAACACATGAATTGTGAATTAACTTATTATATTTGAAAAAATTTGATTTTATTTGCACATGGCCATGGTGTGGATAACGTTATCCACCGTAGTCGAAAAATTAAATTTTACAAAAAAAATGACATAATTACTAAACCAATGAAGCTATTGCTATAAAATTTTCAATACAAACAGATAATGAATAATGTCCATCTAAAAGTAAGGCACATTTAAAATAAATAAAATGCAGATCAGAAAAATTTATGCGACGTTAGAAAAAATATTTCACGAAAAGCGACTGCGGCCGAGACATTTTTACACTTAAATAGATAACTTTTAAACTAATAAAGCTACTACAATGAAATTTTCAATACAAATAGATAGTGACAACCCAAATGTGACAGAATATTCAAGTATTACAAAAGCAATTTAAATCATACTATACAAAATTAAAAAACATTTTATCTATAAAAGTTATTAAATTAATCTCTATCTCTCATCGACATTATTGTACTGGTACATTTAAATACAAACATAAAAACATCCAATGCAATGTAGCTATCCACAGTAATGGATAGTGTCCTTGTCCACAGATGGTATCCTTGTCCAGCTGAAAGTACACAAAATATTTAAAAATTAAATTTTAAAATTAGTGAACTGAAAATTGAAATAATTTCAATCAAAATATAAATTAACAAAATGAAAATCTCACATAAGAACATTAGAAACTAAAATTGACAATATTATTTCTTCATGATCTATGTTAAATAATATCAACTTACAAAATAATTT